GCTATTACTACTCAATATTTCTCTCTTTCGATCTCCATTTTTCAACCATCCCATTTCTCTAGGCAAGGCTCTTGCTGGCATGGGCCTTGGGCTCAATTCACGTTCTACCAATTTCCAATGTGCATTGTATGGTGTATTTGCCTCGGTGCGGTGCGGTGTGTTTGCGTGTTTGCCGTCACTTTCAGCATTTTATCCTGTTTCGTAAATTGTCAATAGATTTTCGCTCTGGAACATGCTTGCATTTTCAACAAAATCGATACAAACCATTTGATCATAGAGGCTAAGAACTTAATTCATTGAATTGACAACAATAAATGCAAAGCGATTATATAATGTCTTTTCGGTTTACGTTTTTCAAGTTTTTTGCGCTTTGTCGTTCTCTCTCTTTCTCGTTCCATCTCTCTCTTTATCCATTTCTTGAACTCGGCACTTATCTTTACTTCCTGTACAACTATCGACGAAATGGATTGTAAAATTATCGGCGAAAAAAAAACGTCAACCGAAATGAAAGCATTCCGAACCGTAGGTATTCGGTGTAAAAAGGTAAAGACAAGATGCCATCAACAATCAATCTTGCCATTCTGTGTGCCGTTCAAAGCGAAACGAAGTAGTTTTCGATGTCAAATAGGAAGTCTGATTGTTGAATCGTTATTCTTTGCAACATTCATTTGTTCATTCGGCTCCTTATCTTCTTCTTGCCGCTTTTTTTTCCGTCCGGGGCCACCCTTTCATTTGTCGTCGTCATCATAGTGTTTGAGTTAAGCACTCTCGAAAATTTCATCGAATCACAAAGTGGAAAATGTTACCAGCGAAATCATTGTTTGAGTTCGACCGCAGAACAAACAATGGAAACTGAAATATTTCAACAATGTCAAGAGAGGGGAAAAAAGCAACCCAGTCACAAATGTGACGTATGAAAAACATCGATCCGCCGAAGCCAATGTCATCATAGAGAAATGTCTTTTTGGTCCATTTACCTTTTACCAATTTAACAAATGGAACGTTAATTCGGATTTTGATATTTTCACCAAAACCAACAACAAACGAACGAAAGAAACGAGAAAAAAAACCATAATAACCGGCACGTCTATACCATACGCATAGACTTGAGTGCGTAAAAAAAACCGTGCTTGTTGTTTAAGTGAAATGTCTCGGGCACAAATGTCTCGGGCCGCACAGCGTCGTTTTCAAATGAATTCAATGCGTAAACGAAAACATGTTGAATCCGCATTTGTATTGAGTTAAAAAAATATATAAGTAAACACAATAAAAGTCCAAAGCACGAAAATTCCACGGTCTTTAAATACAAATAACATAAAGAAGCACACAAAGCTCTTTATAGGTGTATAAAGAATAGGCATTTGGAAAATGTCGCCTCGTGTGACAACAACAATACAAACTTCACACCACCAACACAATACACACGGCACAAATGTAGCCTACACTATATAAGCATTCCAAACTTTTCACTCAATTCGGTGTTGCTGTTTTCTCTATTCTCGACACATCTTCTGTTTAGAATTTGGATATTTTTTGTTGTTCGAAGCAGATCGTACTAGTATGACACATTGGTTGCATCTTTCTCATTGATTTTCAGCATTCAAATGAAAACGAATTAAGGAGCGAAACAATGACGAAACATTCTCACAGGTGCACAAACAATACCGGAATTTTTGATCACAAGATGGATAAATGAAAATGGTGTTGCACAGCGGTATCAAATGACATGACAGCAGCATGCTCGAATGTTTCGCCAGACGTGTTATCACTATATATTTCCATTTTGTTTCGCTCTTTCACTACAACGCACTGTGTTGAAATCCTGGTAGATAAAAATTGCCTGGCCATTATTGTCGATAGAACAAGACAAGGGAAAAATGTGCGATGAAGCTTTTGATAAATAGACGGTCAAATTTTACCGTGCGAATGTAATTGTTTATGTAGAAAACAAAGAAGAAGAAGAAAGGGAAGAGGAAAATGTTTGGGTATGTTGTTTTTATCTAGTGCAAACAATGGGATTTCCATGATGACAGTTCCATAATTTAATGATGAATAATCGATGGGTCGTGATAACAAAATCCAAATTATGTACACATTGAACTCCGCCAAAAGCCGAATGGAATACGCTTAGTCGACATTGTTGACTCGACAACCGGCCAAAACCAGAAAAACGATTCCATATTTCGTCGTAAATGTAGGGTGAGAGAGAGAGGTTGCGCGCGCGGCATTAGCCGTTAAATAAACATAATTATTTTTGACATCGGCTCCGCCGAATATACATTTGAATGAGCCGGACAAGAGAGAGCTGTCGGCGGCGGCGGCAGCAGCAGTAGCAGGAAAAAAATCCAAAAATATTCCATTGATAAGAAAATTTCATTGTTTTTTGTTTCGAATTTTGGCTAGTGAATGATCACGCAAGTAATGTCTTGCATTGTCTGCATTTATGATAGGAATTTCGAATACTCTTGATTTGGTCCTGGTTACCGTCTACATTCTTTTTTTTCTCTCACCGCATTATTCTCCTTCGTCACCGTCCGTATGCAAACTGAGGAATGGTACTGCTTCTTCTTCTTAACACATACTGTAAGTCGCCATATTGGAAGAAATAATGACAATACACTATAAATATTCAATATGGCCGCTTCCATTGTGCACGATTGTGTGTACGATAGTGTGAAGAAGAAGAAGTAGTAGCATGCACAAAAAGTGTATTGGTTTTCATACGGGATGTTCGTCACCTCGAGCCTACAGTCTGCCAACCACCTTTCCGCTCAAAAAATTTATGAGAAGAATCAAAAGAATTTCAATGTGTATTTACATATTTCCACTCAACCGGAATCATGCAAACAATGTTCCTTTTCTTGAATTTTACGCATATATATACCGAAATACGTTCTTATTGCACGGAACCGAACAAAGAAAACTCAATATTGCGCTGTTTGACGTAATTTCAAGGCACGTGTATTAACCCATAAAGGTAGGCAACCAATTGTTACTATAATTCACCTGCGTGCATACCATGTTATTACATTAGTAAGCTTAAGTGCTTAAAAGAGAGGGGGAGAGGGAGATGGAGAGAGAGCGCATTGTTTTGGACTGTCAAACGAATTTGTAGCTATGTTTATGATTCGCAGCGTGAGCTGAAGAGACTGGAAAAGTCTATGCCTTTTTTAGAACTGGGAGTGTGTGAAATGGAGAGAGAGAGAGAAACCATTGATAAAGCAACTAGGGTTATCGGTGTGTAACGGGACACTGCCACATATTCACACACTATAAACATAACGGTGAAATGATATTTTCGACGAAAATTACATTTGGCAGGAAAATAGCAGACACGTTATTCGAACGCCTATAATTGAATCGACTGAAACGTGCTTCTGCTGCGTTTTTGTTGTTGTTGCCGACAACGACATCGATGAGGGCGACGACTGTGGATACTTTTTTTTATGTGTGTTTGTGTGTGTGTGTGTATTTGCCCGAATTTCTGTTTGCCATGCCATCCATTACACTCAATGACCTGCAGGAAGATACGTTGTTGATTCGGACAAAACATCAAAGTGAGCGATTGAAATGAACAGAAAAAAAATGCCGAAAACAAAAGGGAAAACATGGAGGAGCCAAAGAAATTGCCTAACTTTGGTCGCTGTTTGCAATTGTCACCTTATTGCCATTGAGAGATACTACGTTTTGTCATTTAAAATAAGCTTTGTGCTTGTGCCGATATAAATATATCGTCGCATCAATCGATTTGTCGCATTTTCATTCATATTGTCGACTTTTTTTTTCGTTCGTGTGTCCATTGCACGAGGCCTTTTTTTATACAATTTCATCACCAACTGAATCGATCCGAAGTGAACGACATTCAATTGGTGTTCGGTCGTGATTTTCACACATGTTATTACAAAGCCGAAGTGAAAATGTGCTTTTTTGGCAACAATAACAACCACAAGGGGGGACAAATGCCAAAAATCTGGTGATGCGTATCTGTGCGATCTATTGTTTTATGAATAATCGTTTAGGTTACATTGTGTGTCACTGTTCTGTATTCAATTGTCAGTTGATGAGCCAAACGAAAAAATACTAAATGGATGGTTCACAGAGTATTCAGCACAAAAAAATGCACCACCATCCTCCGTACATAACAATAAGTCAAACGGTAATATAAAGAATGAAAAGGGCCGGAAAAATTTAATAAAAGAAATGTAGGTAAAGCATAAAGAATGAGGTCATTTTCCTCCCGTTCACCACAAACGCAACATGAAAAACATAGACAAACAGGCCCCCGATTGAGCGCCACATCCGATAGATTGAAGTCTACTGAATCAAAATAGCATTTCGGCAAATTCCCAAAAGATTCATTCAATCATTGCGAAACCATCATACATTCCATGCTTATTCCCTCTCTCGCTCCCATTCTCTTCGTATCTCTCTCTCTCTCTCTGTCGCTTTCGGCCTCGTTTTTTTTTGTTTATTCTTTCTTTTCATGTTTTCAACGTCAAATAGATTTCTGATCCATGAGAATGAATATAATCAGCAGTGCACAGATACACAAATTAATTTTGTACTGTTCTCTGTGCCACTTCCTACAACTCCACGCACACACTGTGCACCACTGTTGTTATATATATTTTCGACAAATGGTTGGTCGTAAATGGAAAAATTATGTCAACAATATTAATGGCATTTTACAGACGAAAAATTGTATAATGTCGACATAACATTGATTTTCGAATAAAATTCATATCGAATGTATGAAGCGTCTATAAAAAAAAACGTAAAATAATTTTCAGCTTGTTTGGTTCACTACCGTTTACATTCTCTCTCTCTCTCTCTCTCTCTCTCGCACACACACACACACACACACACACGCATACACGGCAAACAATCAGCAATAATCGAAATTTTCAACTGTGTGATTTAAAAATTGTTGTGTAATTTTCATTTGTTACCATTTTTCACATTCTTTTCCTTGATTTTTCTTCCTATATCTGTTATTCTAGCTGCTCTCCCCGAAGTCATATTGCGAAATTGTCGCAATTGTTCGCCGCAGCAGGCGCAAAATGCTCAGAAGTTGACAAATTTCCTGCAGACGCGTTATCCCGATGTTTGGGCGATGTTGATTCGGAAATACCGTGGTGTCTAAATTGCGGATGGAAATCTTCATGCAAATATTAACAAACACCATCTCTCCAGCATCTAAGCACACAATCAGTCAGCAAACCAACCAACCAACCAGCCAGCCGCATTGAATGCAATTGTTGTTTTGTACACTGATTTGTCACAACATTTCCAAAGCATTCCAAAGCAACCCGCATTTCCGGAAATCCTATCGCACGCAATATTTTTGCGCATCAGTTATTATTATCATGCCATTTGCAAAACGCATATGAACCAACATTATAAATCTATCTATTTACAATGCCAATTTAATCTAAACTGATTCTAACACACCCACAATGGTATATTTATGCGAACAAAAAAGAGGAAATATCGTAAAACAGATGCATTCGTTGAATGTATCAATATGAACATCTTATCCGATACAATTTGAAATCAATAAGATATTTATTCCAGAAAAAGATAAATAAATAAATAAAACACAAAAATTTATGCTATGCTATGCTATGTATGCGTTATTGATTCGTTTCCAGTTGAAATTTATGTCGTAAGATAACAACAACAACAACAAAAATTAACACACAGACACATCATATAATGCACACGGTAACACAAACATATTCCAACAATTCATACAATCAAAAACACATACAGTGGAATAAAAACAAACAAACAAAATTATTCGCAAATATAAATGAGTATCCGTAAGTTGATTCAAAAATTTAATGAATAAAGTAGAGAGTACTAGTATATCTAATGCAATAAAATTTAAAAACTACACAACTGCGCATTATTGATTCTGTTCTTTTCTAGGAAATATTCAGATTGGTCAGAATGATGAATTTGGTGAGTTTTGGCTGTTTGTGTGATTATATAGTGCTTATTCATTAGTCAAAAAGGTTGAATTTTGAAAAAAATTTGAAGTCAAAAAGTTTCAATTCGCAAATTGGCGCTTTTCTTTATTCACGTAATATGAGGGACAATTGATGCTTTACCATATATACTGCTTCCTTGGAAAAAAACACGATGCCAAAACGTTGAATGAGCAGAATTTTAACCGAGTCATTCACGATGTGGCACATAACAAAGAGCAACGTCGCTTGCTCCAAAAAATATATAATAAGCTCAAAAAACTATAAAAGAGATACAACATAAAAAGTTGAGAACAGCAGTATTTTAATGGTAAGTAGTCGTTGGTATTTATGGACGATACAAATCAAATGCCTTGTGTGTGTGTGTTTTTGTAATGGGAGATCGTAATTGAAATCCGTTGCAAATCCACTTTAATTTATTGTAAGCTTTTCTCTTTTACAACAGAGATTAGACGGGAAGTGATTGTACAGTAAAATTCTGTTTTGAATTTATCAGCGGCGAATCGGGTTCCAACTTTTGAATGGTAACAAAAAAAGAAGAATGCTCATATCAAGCCGAAGAAGAGCAACGGCGAAAAAAGGATATGTGTCATTGGTTGTAACTTTATCATCGGTGATGTAGTGCTTTGCACCCGGCTCCGGTAATAAAACGGAAAATAATGACTCCATATGATTTATTGCGCTGTTTTTTTTTATTGGCGCGCACTTCTCTAATGCCGTTATAAATGCTCTTGCGATGCATGCAGGATACGCAATAAGTATTCACAGAATTTATTTCACTTGTTTTTTGTTTGTTCGGTCGCCGCACGCATACCAGACAAGAGAAAAAGGAATCAATTCATCAAATTCAATGAAATTTCCACATATGCCGCTATTCTTTTTTTTTATTCCATTGTTGCTACTGTTATTGCTGTTGTTGCCTGTCATAATTCCACGCACAACGTATTGCAATTCAATTTTTCTGACATTTACATCGTAAGTTCGCATACACACGCACCGACACGCAAAACCGGAACTCGCCGAGGAAAAAAAACACTCATGCGATAAAAAAAATCGAAATCTAATTTCGGTGAAGCATACAAATTTCCAGCATGTCAGTTTTTGTCACACAATTGGCGTGTACTCCAAATTACGATCGCTAAAAATGTGATAATATTATTTGCCAATTGATATGTTAACAATATCGTATTTACTGTAAGTAATACTTTTGATATTACATTTTTATTGCTGTCTTTGCCATATTTTATGTGCCACCGCAACTGCCACCGCCGTCATCGTTATTCGCATTCGTCTTCGGTGCCTTTTTGTCATTGTGGCAAAGTGCGTAAATCATTCTTATGTGGAATTCGTGTTTCAGACGTTTGTTCGAAGCTATTACGAGGAATAAGCGTAACTGAACCAGATTGCGAGTTCAATGAAAAGCTATACTGGTTGGTCTTTTTTTTTTGGACGGAGTGAGGAATAGAAATGGAATCGAAACCAAAGCGAATCAAAACGAACGACAAGACAAGTGAACAATGGTCGTGGGGGCGAAATGTACACACAAACACGGAATTCATTTCGTTTTCCACCGAAATAAGGAAACAGCATCTCTGAAGAATTCGAAAAAAAAAACAGCCCAGTCTATGTTTGCCGGCAACGGAAATGGCATTTGTTTGGTCTTCCCTGGAAAACCATTCATTTCATACTCTCATGCTCGCTCTCAGCTCGACTTTGTCTTTTTGTCAGGGGAGAGCATTCCAAATATATAGGAAACAAAAAGTACAGGGAAAAAAACCCAAGCAAACACACGTAATAAAAATCCCTGTATATTTTTCGTTGTATACAAATTGAATGTAAATGCGACAGTTTGACATGGACAATATGCAATGGGAGCGAAAATTACAAAAAACACCACTGCCTGAAAATAAATGAAATGAATTCATCAAATTCAAAGAATTCATAGTAGGCTCGTGCGCTCCCGTGTGTGTGTGTGTGTGTGTGTGTGTGTGTGTGTGTGTGTGTGTGTGTATGTATGTATGTGCAGAACAGATACAATCAATACGAAACAATTTGTATTCAACTTCGATTTCTTATTTTTACAGAGCGCATGAATTAATCGATGAGATAAAGTCGATTTGTTTGAGTCATTTCACCGGAAAATCGTCGCTTCTCATGGATTAAAAATGAGCTCACTTCCGTATTTGGAACGTTGACGACACACTTTTGTTTGTTGAGCTCTTTTTTCCGCCGTCGTCGTCGTGCGACTTTTTTCAATTGAAATTACGAAACGTGAATTACGTGATCGTCTGCCATTTCGCATTGAAAACAAACACTTTTAAACATTCGCTCCGTTGCGTCTCATCAATAAAAAAAGAGCACAATTTGATGCGTTTTGTTACAGGCAGCATTCATCGAGAGAAGCGATGCCGTTCCATTTGAGTCATTTTCCAAGATAAATTACCGAGACATACGCGAGCCGTGCACAGTTCACATATTAGTTCTCTCTCTCTCTCTCTCTCTCTCTCTCTCTCTCTCTCGTCTCACGTGACTGGTGACTTTCGTTTCATATCAAATTCGGAAGAAAAAAATTTTTTTCTCCGCCTCCTTCTTCATGTGTCTCGCAAACGGTTTTGTAGCATCAAATTGTCTTATCTCATTTCGCTTCATCGTTGATGTATGTTTTTCGTTCGTTGTGTCTTTCTTTTTTTTATTTCGTTCTTTATTTGCCGAGCGAATGAGAATGAAAGGCCACCATGGGGCATAAAATTGTGCAATGGTGTGGCGCGTGTATTTTCAGGAAAATTGATTTTATGTCGGTTTATAAGCCTCTTTCAATGCCACAAGAAAAATGAAAAATCTGTTAAAGGAGCTTATATTTCGCTGTGATTCTTACATTTCTCTTTCGTTCACTGATAGCCCAGTTATCTTTCACATGTTTATTTGCTTCTCTGTCGTTGTTTACTTTATTCAATTCAGCAACCGAATTCGACCTGATTACTTTCGCTCCCACTCCTTCTCGCTCGCTATCGATATATTATGTGTACTTTTATTCATTTTCTACGAAGATGACATACAACTACAATATTTTTTTTTCCTCTCAGTCCGCGCTCTTTCGTTCGATGCTCTTGCACAGTAATTTCGAAACGAATGGATTTCCAATTCGAAAAATATATAATACAAATATGATTGCTTCCAATGAAATGTGAAATAAGAATTCTGCCAATTTCATTTGATATCCCATTTCATGCGCCATCGGAATTATCGTTTCGTGAAATTAAATGCGTGAGCGAGAGGAAGAGGCAGAGGGAGTAAGATAGCGAAAGAAAAGAAGAAGCAGAGAGAGATAGACAGAAAGGAATTAACTCAAAGGTGGGTCATTCAATGGCAGCGCTTCTTTTTTTCCATACACATTTGAAGCTTATTTCTAAGACGCATTCAAAGGAATCCCACTTATCGCTGACTTTTCTGATGAACTTGTAAATAAAAATGAATCATTCAATGCGGCAACAATGTAGTTGTGTTGCGATAAAATTTTCGCTAGTGCACTATCGGTTGGCTAGAGTGTGATATCACGCTCGCTTCAGAAACAAAGCACCACAAGCATCACACCGAATGTGTTGACAATTCAAAATGAAATCACAGTAAGTTTCAATTTGCACTGACAGCAATCGTTGCATGCATCCGCTTCAAACTCGATCCAACTGGCTGAAAATCCTATTGATTCGGAAGCAATATGTAAATATTGTCAATTTTATTTGGAATTCGTTTGCAACACACACTCGCTGGCTTTTATGTTTTGGCAATCATGTAACTAAAACGGAAGGGATTCCAGGGCTAAATTCTACTGCAAATACACACGGGACAAATGTCGTCATTTTCCACTGTAAAACCGTATAAAATATTACTATTTCCGTTTTTTGTTGTTCCCTTGCTTTTTTTCAATGGAATTTCGGGCACATTGCATCAATGGCGAATTGAAATAACAACCGTCTATTTGGTGAGCCAATTTTGAAAATGGGCATAAAAAAATACGCTGTTTACAATGGATTTGCGAGTGTGTTCAATGAAATTGGGCACCGCACACAACCAGATCGAAAGTTGTGGTTTGTGCAGCCAAAAACCTTGGAGATGTTAAATGTATGCAACATAAACAATGGGTTCAATGGAGAGGAAGAAAATATTTGGAATCAAGAGCAGATGTTGGTCTGGCTCATTCGATGCTCGAGTGAGCGTGCGTGCATTTGACGAATAAACTTAACTCGATTCAAATTCGGTATACATTGGTCGTGCCATTCTTTGTGACTTCTTTCATCGTTCAATCGGAAACTTGAGTCGGACGGAAATGTGTATGTGTTATTGCGGTAGAAGTCTGTCACCAATGCAATCCCTGTTTCCGACACTTCACATGAACCTTCGAAAAGTACAATTATTCATTTTTCTCGGTTGAATAAAAAAAAACTAATGTCACAAACAGTAGAAATTTGACCAAAGTTTAGAAGTAGTTGATGGCATTGTGCCATATGGTAACGAGATGACCCTTGGTGTGGAAAATACACATTGTCTGCGTCAGCACACAACAGAGAAGCAGAGAAGCTGCCAGTGTCGCCGTAAAGTTGATTATATTCAACTCAAGCCACACACGATTGAAAAAAGTTGCCGAAAAATTTGATGATTCAATGAGTTGGTTTAGAGATGTAATTGGCTGTCTTTTTGTTGTTCCGGCAATATATTTATGTTTAGGTATTGCAACCTAACTTTACCGACATTTTTGAATGTCGAAACTATTTCGAGCATATTTTCATTTGGAGCTCATTTTAATATGTTCACCGTGCAATGTGCACAATATATTCGAATCCATGGTAAGAACCAAAATATTTACAAAAACTATCATCCATGGGGCACACAAACCAACATTTTTTT